GTGAGCAAACAAAACTGGTGCGACCCTCTGGAAACTAGCTCAATGGTGTGGCTTAGTGGCCTGGGAAGGTTTTATTTCACATATTGAAGTTGGCCATCCTATTTTTAGGGATAGGTGTTTAAGGATAAAAAGACTGGAGAAGATGACAAAATTTCACGAAATACAAAGATGCTCCCTGTGCCATTCTTTATATTATAAAAATCATAAACAAGCCAAATACCCAGTAATCAAGGCATGTTAACTAGATTAAGACACATTCATATGATTTCACATGATGTGATATGAAATGATGTGATATTACTATATAGTTGGGCTTCCCTGGTGGCTCAGATGGTAAAGAATCCGCCTGCAGTGTGGGAGACCTGCGTTTGATCCCTGGGTTAGGAAGATCCCCTGGAGAAGGGAATGGCTGCCCGCCCACTCCAGTATTCCTGCCTGGAGAATTCCATGGACAGAGGAGCCTGGTGGGCTACAGTCCATGGGGTTGCAAAGAGTCAGACACAACTAAGTGACTTTCACTTCATGGTATAAAATAGCCTTATATAATGACACAGGACATTGCTTAATATAATATTAAGCAGGAGGAAACTATGTACATGGAATGCCAGTTTGCTTTATAAAACTCTTGTCTACTGGATGTACACATGCACACATTTCATAAGGCTACATTTCCCTCATAATAGCACCTCTCACACTAAACTGCCAGAGTACTTTTCTGTTTTGTTTTCCATCCTTCTCTCCCCTGGTTCTTGTGTACCTCTGATTCCTCTGATTGGTGGCAGGCCTGGAACACAGAAGCACCAAGTGGCCCACATCACAGAGACAGGTGTGTCTCTGAGGATAAAGAGTAGAAGTGTGTCTGAAACCCAATCCAGGGGCTTCACCCTGGCCTGAGATGCTGTTAAGGGGATGCCTGGCACAGAAAAGGCACTCTGGATGTTCACCCACCCTTCCTTCTTGAAAGTTTGGAGACAAAGATGTGAGCAAAATGCATTGAATCCCTGCCTAGAAACCCTGGTGAAGAGAAAGTGTCTAAGACCCTGACTTGTAAGAAAAGAAGATTGTTTTTCAATAGGGATAATATTCCAGTCATAAGGAACACCCTTTCTGTTGTCCTGGCAAACAAGCATCTTGCCCCAAGAATGCTGAAGGCAGCTCTGTCTGTGGAAGACTAACACACCAGAGTCAGGCTGTTGTTATTAGGGAAGCAGATAGGTTCATGCACCGGATTTAAATTGTGGCTGAAAAAGGAAGCCTCAGTATGAGTGGACCAGAACCCAGCCATGGTTGTCACGCCAAGCAGTGACCAGCAAAGGAAAGGGCAAGAACAAAGAACAGTCTGATCTGTGATGACCTTTTCAAATTATATGTTGATCCCTTAAGCTACACTGTTCCTTCTTAATGGTGAAAGTCAAGAAAATTTGACAGAAGGAACTGCGAGACTAGTTTCTCCTTTATGTTTTGCTCTTCAGCTTTGTGCAAAATGCTAACATCTTAATCTTTGTGAATTGTGGTTTTTCTCTAGATATATGCCCAAGAGTGGGATTGGTGGATCATATGGCAGTTCTACATTCAGTTTTTTAAGGAACCTCTATAGTGTTCTCCATTGTGGCTATAAGAGTTTACATTCCCACCAACGGTGTAGGAGGGTTACCTTTTCTCCATACCCTGTTCAGCATTTATTGTTTGTAGACTTTTTGATGATGGCCATTCTGACTAGTGTGAATTGATACCTTACTGTAATTTTGATTTGCATTTCTCTAATAATTAGTGATATTGAGCATCTTTTCATGTGCTTTTTTTTTTTTGGTCATCTGTATGTCATCTTTGGAGAAAAACCTATTTACATCTTCAGCCCATTTTTGACTAGGCTGATTTTCTGTTTATATTGAATTGAAGATTAACCCCTCGTCAGTTGCTCCACTTAAAATATTTTCTTCCATTCTGTGAGTTGTCTTTTCAGTTTATGATTTTCTTTGCTGTGCAAAAGTTTTTAAGTTTAATGAGGTCCTGTTTGTTTATGTTTGCTTTTATTCATTACTCTAGGAGGTAGATCCAAAAAGATGTGCTGCAGTTTGTCAAACAGTGTTCTGCCTATGTTTTCCTCTAAGAGTTTTATAGATTCTAGTCTTACATTTAAATCTTTAACCCATTTTGAGTTTATTTCTGTGTATGTTGTTAGAGAATGTTCTAATTTCATTCTTTTACATGTACCTGTTCAGTTTTCCCAGCACCACTTATTGAAGAGAGTGTCTTTTCTCCACTGTATATTCTTGCCCCCTTTGTTGTAGATCAACTGATCACAGATACATTGGTTTATTTCTGGGCTTTGTATCCTGTTCCACTGATGTGTATTTCTGTTTTTGTGCCAGTACCACAGTGTTTTGATGATTGTAGTTTTGCAGTATACTCTAAAGTTGGGGGCCCTGATTCCTCCAACTGATTCCTGATTCTTTCTCAGGATTGCTTTGGCTGTTCAGGGTTTGGCTATTCTTTTGTGTTTCCTACAAATTTAAAAAATTTTTTGTACTAGTTTTGTGAAAAATGCCATTGATAATTTAATAGGGATTACGTAGAATCTGTAGATTGCCTTGGGTAGTATAGTCATTTTGACAATAGTGATTCTTCTAATCCAAGAACATGGTATATATTTCCATCTGTGTCATCTTCAATTTCTTTCATCAGCATCTTACAATTTTCAGAGGACAAGTCCATTGTCTCCGTAGGTAGGTATACTCCTAGGTATTCTTTTTCTATGTGATGATAAATGTGATTGTTTCCTTAATTCCTCTTTGTGATCTTTTGTTGTTAGTGTATAGAAATGCAAGAGATTTTTGTGTATTAATTTTGTATCCTTCAACTTTACTGAATTCATTGATGAGCTCTAGTAGTTTTCTGGTAGCATGTTTTGGATTTTCAATGTATAATATCATGTCATCTGGATTATTTTAAATGATGATGAATTGCATTTAAGCAATGCAGTGAGTTTAAATATTCCTGTGAAACTAATTGTGGAGGGGAGGGAAGGTGTAGCTCTCCTGACATTTAACTGAATATTTAACTACACTGGAAAACAAAACCTAAACAACAGACACACTGTCACAATTGAGGAAACAGGATGAGACTGCCAGTGTTCATTTGCTGTGTTGCTTTATGTAACATGCTTAACTCCTGGAGACTTAATGCTTTGTTGATAAAACAAGCAGGTTATACTTGAATTCAGGACTGATTTTTAAGTTTCACTTTAGCTCTAAAATTCCATCATCTATCCTGGGATATTCTTTCTCAACTTCAAAGTTTGATGATGTCAGTTCTGGGACAGGGTTCCCATAGTTAAAGGGGAGGCGTGAAGAACAGATCAAGTTTTTCTGACCAGAGGCATGCTCCGCCACGTCTCAGTAACGACACAATCTCCTTTGTGTCGGGTGATACCGTGAGCACATCAACAACACTACGGCCTTTCATGACAGATTGGGGCAGAGTGAAGGGGCTCAAGGTAGGCCCTGGCCTATGTGATTCATGAAGCAGCAGTCCAGGAAGGAGGCCCACCATATGATGGGTCTGCGACACGCAAGACTTTGGAAACCACTTTCATGGCAGAAACGTGTCTCCAGGAGAAAGCAAACACTCTGAGTGGCTGCATCTAAGGTCAGTTAGTCCTGCTAGAGTGGCTGTGTATGTTCAGAACTTTTACCTCTATTTAAAAGTTTCCCCTTTGTGTTCATTCTGTCAAAGCAGAAAAGTGTGACTTTCTCAAAACTCACTCATCTGCCCACTGGCCCATTTTCTACTTCATACAGAAATGCTTTGTGTCTGTAATCAGGAAGAAACAGAAACCCTGAACAGTTCCTACAGAAAGCCTGTGAGGAAACAGAAATGCACAGAACCACCACCCCAAATAAAAGGCATCAGAGTTTCTGAGTCTAAAGAAAAAAAAACAAACAAAACCATCCTGTCAGCCAAGAGTCTTCTCTGGCCACAGCAGGTAAACACACAAGTGAATGTACAAATGAAGAGAGACATCAAAGGTTAAATAATTAAGCAACAGCTACAAAACAAACACAAGCATTTCTGTTCTGCCTGTAGAAAATCATCTAATAGCAAAAAAAGGGGGAAAGTATCTTGCTTTAGGAAAAGCTAAACCATAAAAACCATTTGAATTTACTAAATAGATATGAATATTTAAAGAGAACTTTATTTAATTGGTGAACCAGATACACCAGCCTAGAAAAAGGCACAGAGCTCACCCTGAGTTCTCATGAGGCTTTACCATGTCCCCTGGGACTGTCCACGGGGCTTCCTGTCTAATAATTCATTTAACCTCCCCACATTCCAGGCAGATATGGGCTTCCTTTGTGGCTCAGCTGGTAAAGAATCCGCCTACCAACTCAGAAGACTTGGGTTCGATCCCTGGGTCAGAAAGATCCCCTGGAGAAGGAAATGGCAACCCACTCCAGTACGCTTGCCTGGGAAATCCCACGGACAGAGGAGCCTGGTGGGCTACAGTCCATGGGGGTCACAAAACAGTCAGACATGAATTAGCAACTAAACCACCACCACCACAGTTCAGGCAGGTACCCTCATCATCCTCACCACACAGTGGGAAAACCAGACGCACAAAAAGACTAAGGGATGTGCCCGAGGTCACACGTCATTTCCTCTGGTTACGAAACAAATCATCATCAATGAAGCTATGGTTCTTACATGCTCAGCAAGATAAGTAGTGCCACTGAGTGTCTAGCATTAAATAACCGCTCCCGTGCCTCTGCTCCGAGATTCACATAAAAACGAAGAAATACTGTATGAAGAAAGGAAGATTAAAAATACAGTTGACAGTGAACTGACTCTGTTTCCTCCCCCTACTTGGGTTGCCCTTGTGGCCCAGCTGGTGAAGAATCTCCCTGCAGTGCAGGAGACCTGGGTTTGATCCCTGGGTTGGGAAGATCCCCTGGAGAAAGGCTACCCACTCCAGTATTCCGGCCTGGAGAATTACATGGACTGTGTAGTCCATGGGGTCACAAAGATTCGGACACAACTGAGCGACTTTCGCTTTCACTTTCCTCCCCCTCCTTATCATGCATATCCCTAAGCACAGCAGGCAGTGTAGGATATTATGAGTCTAATTCAGGACCACACAAAGCTGTTTACGCTCTTACAGAAATAGAAGCTTTTAGGGTCTGATTTAGGATCCACTCATTTAGATGGCAAGGGAGCTTACCCAAGAGAATAAAGGGGAAGGCAGGAAGGGATGGGGAGTGTCAGAAGGGCAGGGCCACATGGCAAAAGCCCAGGACCTGCAGAAATGGGACTCAGAGAGGCAGACAACCCACAGCCATGGGAGGTCTGATTCCAGGCAGGGAGGAGATCTGGCAGGAGCACTCAGGTAGGCTCCAGCTCTGGGAAGGAGGGAAGTGGGGCAGGGGAACATGCAGGTAGGATCTGGGAGGCAACACAAAACCATGCCCCTCCAACCAGGCCACCTTGGGAAGTGAGGGAGCCCAGGCTCCGGGCACACACATACCTGACGTGGAATGGGGCAAAGTCACAGCCCAGGCTGTGCAGGGAATGGACCCTGGTGGATGTGAGACGCTTAGCCAGGAAGATGGAAAAGGTAAGCTGAGCAGGGCAAGGTGGGAGCTGACTATGGGTAACTGTCACAGCTACAGGGGCTGACCACACACACAGGAACTTTTGGGGGAACCTGGCAGAGGCCAGGGATACATCATTCTAGTATTAACTCCAGAGGTGGCTAGAATCACAGATCCCGCCAACCTCCTAAGATCACCACACCCGGAAACCCAAGATCCGGCTGGATATATAGGAACCAGGTACTCTGAGTAGCCTTAGGCCTAGGGGATAAGAATCAGTCAGAGAAGGAGGCTTGGGTCCTAGGCCCACACACATGCATAGCTGATGACGATAGGAGCCCATGAATCAAGCCAGCAGGGGGCGGTGAACTGCAGAGGGCTAGGACTGATGGGGCACCTGGGGCCCAGCTCTTCTGGGAATTTCAGGCATCAGTCAGATATCCAGCAAGGGAATCTCACGGCTGGAGCAGAAATCCCCCATCTCAAAGAAGACACTCATTAAGAGTTATTCTGAGAGAGAGAGAGAGTGGTTCACGAATTTCCTTCACAATATCAGCTTAGAAACTGGTCCAGGAGATGGGCCTCCTTTCTTTCTTTTTCCCCCTCTATCTTCCCTGACATTTATTTTTTGGAAGTATAGTTGATTTACAATGTTGTGTTAATTTCTGCTGAGCAGCAAAGTGATTTGGATATATATACACACACACACACATACATAGGCACATGCATATATACTGTTTTTTAATATTCTTTTCCATTATAGTTTATCACAGGATATTGAATATGGTTCTCTGTGCTCTAGAGTAGGGCCTTGCTGTTTATCCATTCTATATATAATAGTTTGCATCTGCTGACCCCAACCTCCGAATCCCTTGACAACCACAAATCTGTTCTCTATATCTGAGAGTGTTTCTGTTCTGTAGATAAGTTCATTTGTGTCATACTTTAGATTCCACATATAAGCAATATCATATGATACCTATGTTTCTCTGTGACTTCACTTAATATGATAATCTCTAGGCCTATCCATATTGCTGCAAATGGTATTATTTCGTTCTTTTTTATGGCTGAGTAGTACTCCATTGTATACATGTTCACGTCTCCTTTATCTATTCACATGCTGACGGACATTTAGGTGGCTTCCGTGTCTTGGCTATTGTGGACAGTGCTGCCGTGAACACAGGGGTGCATGTATCTTTTTGAATTATAGTTTTGTCTGGGTATGTGCCCAGGAGTGGGGTTGCTGGATCATATGGTAATCCTTCTTTTAGTTTTCTGAGGAACCTCCATACTGTTTTCCATAGTAGCTGCACCAACTTACATTTCTACCAACAGTATAGGAGGGTTTGAGATGGACCTGTTTTCTTCAGGAGCTGAGTAAGGAGATGAAGGCAAGGGACAAGGCCCCCAAGGCAGGGCCTGTTTCCAGGAACTGAGGAAGGTCATGGGGACAAGGAAGTTGTCATTCCAATAGCAGGGGGTGAAGGTGAAACTCTGATTTCCATACAGTCCATTTGTGTTCACCAGCTCTGCATTTCAGGCCATTTCTGGCTAAGCGCCTGTGGCTATGCCTGAGTTACTGTGGCCGAAGGAAGCTGCCTTCACAATAACTGCAGAAACATTCCTTCTTACTCTCTTCCAAGTCCTGAATTCTGTGCACACTAAATGCCAAACAAATGCTTTCTGGAGCCAGAGATCTGAGGAATGAAAGTCCAGCCAAGAATTTGTACCACAAAAGCTTTATCAGAGCCCAGCAGAGTTGAGCCTCTGACATTGGGAGTGGAAAAGTAAATAATATCAGGAACTTTGAGTTACAATCTAGAATATTGTTATTAAAGAACATGGGATTATAGGGAGGAAGTATCCAGAACTGACAAATTAGTAACTGTACATCTTGAAGGGTGACAAATTAAAAAGAGCATCAGGACGACTCTTTTTCTATGTTATAAGTATATCTGCAGCATCAAGAGAATTTAAGATTCCTTAAACTCTTGGCCATTCTTAAAAGCAGGCCCCCACAGGCAAATATGTGATAACCTATGGTTTTATGGTGCCAGAGACATTATATGAATCATGTATATGAGGCCATCCTAAGGCCACTTCATTATTTCAAAAGTCATGACATAGTCTTACTTAGTCAACCATTAATTCCAAAGAAATAGCAAAGGATTTATTCTCTCCTGAGATGTGCAAACTCTCCATGGTGAATATGGCATGATCACAATGTGCTGTCCTTTCAAACTGTACAATAAATAGCAGGCAGTCATTCTGAGATCACCTGCACATGGCAGATGTGACAATTCTCCATAGCAAAGGCCAGTGCACAGTGAGGTAGTGAAGACTTTCGCTGGATCTTTGAGATACCTATAAGCCTCATGAAGAAAAGGACTAGCGTTAAACAAATTGGGGGAGAAAACTTACTTTCTACTCCTATAAATTCCAAATTGCTTAACACGGCATTCCAAACTAGTGTTGGCCAATTCACTTGGGCTCCAAAATCACTGCAGATGGTGACTGCAGCCATGAAATTAAAAGGCGCTTACTCCTTGGAAGGAAAGCTATGACAAACGTAGACAACATATTAAAGAGCAGAGACGAAAACTTTGGGGAAAAAAATAAAAGGCAGCGACATCACTTTGCTAACAAAGGTCCATATAGTCAAAGCTATGGTTTTTCCAGTAGTCATGTACGGATGTGAGAGCTGGACCATAAAGTAGGCTGAGTGCCGAAGAACCGATGCTTTTGAACGGTGGTGCTGGAGAGAACTCTTGAGAGTCCCTTGGACAGCAAGGAGATCAAACCAGACAATCCTAAAGGAAATTAATCCTGGATGTTCATTGGAAGGACTGATGCTGAAGCTCCAATACTTTGGCTACCTGATGCAAAGAGCCAACTTATTGGTAAAGACCCTGATGCTAGGAAAGATCTAAAGCAAAAGGAGAAGGGGGTGGCAGAGGATGACATGGTTGGATAATGTCACTGACTCAGTGGACCTGAGTTTGAGCAAACTCCAACAGATAGTGAAGGACAGGGAAGCCTGGCGTGCTACAGTCCATGGGGTCTCAAAGAGTTGGACATGACTTTAGTGACTGAATAACAACAATACATTTTACTTAAAATGTAATTTTAGATTCATTTCAATGTGTTTTCAATAGAAAATTATTAATGAGATAGTTTACATTCTTATTCAAACTAAAGCTTTGAAATCCAGAGTATATTTCACATCTAGACTACACTTAATGTTTGCATAAGCCATATTTGCATGCTCAGTGGAACCTATGGCTAATGACTAATGTGATGTCCCAGCTACACTTCCCCATATCCTGACTTAAGCCCTACTGGGTTCCCCTCCCTGGGAGTGTTACCCCAGGTTCTAGGAAGCACAGGTGCCAGATTTCTAAGACAGCCCTAATTTCACCCATTCTGTCCCCGGCACCTGGGTCTCCTTGTTTTCAGCACCAAGGCAGTGTGCTGTCCTGGTTCTGGGGTGGCATTATCTAGGTTTGATTCTACCTTTCACTGTGTACAACCTGGGCTAGTTTTTAATTTCTTTTTGGACACTCACTTTCCCCATTTTGGAAATGGGTAGACGTGGTGCTTCTCCCAGAGTTTGCTGGGAATGAGAAGAGGTCATATTCCTGGAACACCACACTCTATTCCACGTGATTAGCAGTGGTGCACAAAGAACTGTTGGCAACACAGTCACTTCACCCACTGCCCCCACCACAGCTCCTGATTGGGTTGAGGAAGCATGTCCTTTTTACTATCCTGTTGGCTTCCCTGGCAAAGGGAATAGGCTCAGATGGCAAAGAACCTGCCTGCAATGTGGGAGCCCTGGATTCGATCCCTGGGTCAGGAAGATCCCCTGGAGGAGGACATGGCAACCCACTCCAGTACTCTTGCCTGGAGAATCCCATGGACGGAGGAGCCTGGTGGGCCACAGTCCCTGGGGTTGCAAAGAGACATGGCAGAGTGAGTAACACACAGGATGCTCCCTGCTGCCCAGACCTTTTCTCAATCCACTTTAAAAATCCTGTCTGTCTTCTAGGATCAAATCAAATGCACCTCTCCTTCAGGAAGTCCTTCCTTTCTCCTGCCTCCCACCTCCAAGATGGAAGTATTCCCATGGGTCTGTTTTTCTCACTCTGCATAGCATCCTAATTATTCATATCAGACTTAGTTCACCTTCTGGACTTTTCCTCAAGGGTTAAGGCACTTATTAATTTTGTGAACCTTTCTCTCCCTCCCCTACCCTTTCATCCCCCTCACATTTCCCCAGGAGGTTCCTGACATTCAGTATATGATTTTGAAGCAAATGAATGAATATCCAATAGCTTTGATTTAATATAGGTGACCTTTTTATTATTAAAAGTACCAGTACTAAGTAAAAAGGCGATTTAAAAAATCTGTGCGGTCCCTTATAGCTTTGAGACTGATACGCTTTGTCCTACTCACGTCCCACTCCTGAGGTCCCCACACCTGCCCTACACAAGTCTCCAGGACCGCTCCCGGTGTCTCTGAGTTGCTGGGCCTTCCCCGTCGAAAGGGGACTCAAACAGAGCTGTGTCTGACCTTCCACTCCACCACAGAGTGCGCCTGCTTTCGGCTCCATCATTTCAGAGCCCCGCCAGGTGACGGGCCAGTCAACCTGACCCAGCAGTGCAGAGGAACGAACTCCGGCCTTGCAGCAGCCCCTCTCTGAGACAGCAGACGCATCACCCAGACAGGTGAACGCCACAGCATTCCTGCAGCATCTCAGGGACTACACGGGGCAGTGAGGAAATGCAGGACAGAT